CAGAAGTATCCACCTCAGGGAGGAGAGAAAGTGGGGTTTGGAAAGCATGGAGACCTATCACTGGATCAAGTGATTGCTCAATTCCCGAGCTATGTGAATTGGTGTCGGGAGACCATCCAGGATGCGGAGGACCCATACTGGAAGATGGAAAGGCTGGTGCCGTATGCCGACCAGCGCCAATCCCACAAGGACCAGGGCAAGGGCTACTTCACCTACAGTACGTCAAGACAATGAAGGAGTCTCCACCAGACACCAAGGGCTACAAAGGCAAGACTACACCGGGAAACAGTGGACACAGCTGGGACGGCGATATTTCAGAGCAGGACCATTGGGAGAAGGTCGAACACGACAAGGCAGAGATCGAGAAGCGCATGGGCATTCCTGGAGGCAAAAACACGAAGCACAAGGAAAGCAAGACCCAAGCCGAGATCGAGAACGAGAGTTTGAAGGCCCAACTCAAGGAGATGCAGTCAGTCAATGCAGAGTTGGAACTACAAGTGAGTTGTGTGAAGGGCCGCAAGGAGATGTAGATCATGCGGAGGTACTTCCGGAGAGGTTGTCACGCTTGCACAACGAATGGGGAGTTCGAAAGAATCCTGATAGCAAGACTTGGCATGACCTGGTTTCTCATGGAAGACCCCTTCTCATGGAGGTTGCTTGTTATCCAGATAGCATTTTGGGGACCGAGGTTGAAAGACGTTTTGGTTCAGGCAGTTGTCTTTGGCTCTCCGAGTGGAATGGAGGCAATCTTGAAACTCCGGAAGGCATTGATCTGATTCTCAAGAAGATCAAGAGATCTCGACCTCTCAAGCTTTGGATCTCATGCGAATGTTCACCCTTTTGTCCTTTGCAGAGGCTCAATCGCCGAACCCCCGAACACAGGCTCAACCTCAGTCAGAAACAAGACAGAGCCATCACCCAATATCAAGGTGCAATTCAAGTGGCTGAGTTTGCTTTTAAATTGGGGGTTGATGAATTGTTTGAACTTTCGCAGAGGTGTGAAGCGTGGAACTTGCCTTGCATTGAACAATATCTCCAAAAGAACGAACTGGAAAAGGTGTCAACAGCTGGCTGCAAGACTCGGGACCAGACAAAGTTGTTGCGCAAAGCTTGGACGGTTGCCACAAAGAATACACTGTTTTTGCAACGCATGAATTTACAGTGTCAACAAAACCATGCCAAGGGCCGGTGCGAAGCAGGGGAAACTTCACATACAGCACGGTACACAACGGCATTCGCTCGCCGGGTTGTGGATTGTTTTTGTGAATCAGAGGGTTGGGGACACATTGTTCAAGAGTTGAGACGGCCCATCCCTGAGGACGCATATCCTGCAGTTCCAGATGATGAAGAACTCTCCGAGGCAGGTGAGCTGCTGGAGATATCACCCGAAGAGAAGCGTGACATTGAACAGAAGATACAACGTATTCACAAGAACACCGGACACGGGAGCATGAAGAACCTCATCCAGTCGCTTCGTCGAAGAGGAGTTGCTGAGAAGGTTCTACAGGTAGCAAAGCAGTGGAAGTTTCCTAGTTGCGCTGAAAAGAAGTTTCGTGATCCAAGGAGATTCGCAACACTAGAAACTGTAGCAGCCAAGTGGGAGGTATTAGAGGTTGACGCAGCAGCATGGCTACATCCTTCACCAGACAAAATGTCAAATCGCAGTCATGGTGGATTCAGGTAGCAGGTTCACAGTGTGTCGTCTTCTTCATGAACATCCCACGAAAACCGGAACTTGGGAAGATTTCAAAAGGGCTTTGGAAGAACAATGGTTGCCAATTTTTGGAAAACCCAAGACAGTTCGCCAGTTCGCGTTGATCCAGCAGGTGCATGGTTAAGTAAACAGGCAGATGAATATTTCAACAATCGGGACATATTGTTGGACCATATTCCACGGGAAGCACATTGGCAGTTGAGCATTGTGGAGGGCACAATTCGGACATATTTTGTCCGCACTCGCAGAAGAGTTTCCGGAGGTTGACAATCGTGAATTGTTGGCACGTGCGACCTGGGTGCTCAATACCAGAGAATGTTACAAGGGATACAGCCCAATGCAACATGCCTTGGGAAAATCACCAGATGAATGTGACAGAATGTTTGAAGCTCAGGAGGCCATCTCAATACGGCCAGAACTATTGCAAGACGGAGGGTTCCAAGAAGATGCAAAAATCAGGATCTGTGCAGAGAAAGCCTTTCTTGATGAACAAGCCAAGAGAAGATTGGAGCGAGCTGAACGCATGGGAAAAAGGCGAGACCAGCTGTTTCTACCAGGAGACCTGGTCTTCTATTGGCGGACACAGATTCCACACAATGAGAGAGGTACATTTCAGACGGGAAAATTTCTTGGTCCAGCAAGAGTCTTAGCAACAGAAACACGTCGTGACAATGGAGAGTTGAGAAAGGGAAGCATTGTTTGGCTCTATTAGGCAGGGAGATTGTTGAAGGCAGCGCCCGAACAGATTCGCAGAGCAACAGAAAATGAAACAATCCTTGAAGAGCTGTCGGGGCCCGTTGAACTTCCTTGGACATTCAGCCACATTGAACAAGATGAGCGCCGCAGAGTCTTTACAGACATTACTGGAGAGGCACCAAGCGATGAGATGGAAGCAGCAGAAGAGCATGTGAGAAGGGAACCAATGATCCTGGAAGAGCCAACACCCAACAAAGAATGGGTGACTACCACCAGGGCGACAACCAAACGTCCAGGTGATGTGGACCTAAGACAGATAGTCACAAAGCAGGCCAGACAGGAAGTTCCCAGAGGAGAGAAGAGACCAGCAGATGAGAATCCCGGAGGAAGATCAAGCTCCAGCAGACCTCGAAGAGATCATGACGCTTTTTGCAACATAGTCGAACATTGCTGGGCAGTTGAAGCAGAACTTCCACTTCCAGAAAGCAGGCGTGGTTGGAAGAAGTTCATGAACAATCCTGAAGCTTACATGGCAGGCCAGTTGCGGAAGAAGCAGATTGAAGTACATGAACGCCGACTCACACCTGAAGAGGCCATACGATTTTGTGAGGCCAAAGACGAGGAAGTGAAGAACTTCATAGCGGCACAGTGTTTCCAACAGGCTCAAGAACAATTTCCCGATGAGAAAGAGATCATTGGGATGAGGTGGTTGCTCACTTGGAAACACGACCCATCTCAGGAAGACGGAAAGAAAGCAAAGGCAAGGCAATCGTTCTGGGATTTCAAGATCCATCCTACAGTGAGCGTGAAACATCAGCACCAACACCATCCAAGGCTGGGAGACAATTGTTTTTACAATTGTGCGCATGGAAGAAGTTCCGCATTTCAAAGGGAGATGTCAGTGGGGCATTTCTTCAGGGAGAAACTCTCGATGATCCTCTGTGGTGTAGACCACTTCCAGAGATGCGCCGAGAGTTAGGAGTAGAGGAGGACACACCCATGTTGTTAACCAGAGCAGCATACGGTTTGGTACAAGCACCACTTCAATGGTACAAGTCGGTTTGCAATACTCTCAAAACATTGGGATATTTGCGGTTGACAACAGAACCATGTTGTTGGGTTTTGCAAGACAACCAGGGACAGGTGAGGTCAGCAGTGCATGGGCATGTGGACGACTTCATGGTAGCGGGGAAACAAGGTGATCCAATTCACGAAACAGCCACACAAGCTCTCAAACAAAAATACAACTGGGGCGCCTGGGAAACGAATTGTTTTGAGCAGTGTGGATTGGAGGCGAAGCAACATGAGGATTTCAGTATTTCCTTGAGGCAGAGTCGATTCATCGATGATTTGGAAGAAATTTCACTTTCAAGGGATCGCAGTCGTCAAGGCGAACAACCAACCACAGACAAGGAGAAGAGCTGGCTAAGGGGAACCTTAGGAAGCCTTTTGTGGTTGTGTGGGCAAACATGCTTCATGTATTCAGCAAATGTCAGTTTCCTCATTTCAACAATACCAGTGAGCACAGTTTCGGAAGTGATCAAGACCAACACTGTTGTTAGAAACGTGAAGAAGTGGAGAAACCAACAGTTTTGGATACACGCATTTCCAGAAGACGAAACACTTCACATGATTTGTTGGACAGACGCTGCATTTGCAAACAGGCCCAACGAGAAGGATTCAACAGAAGGAATCTTTGTTGGTTTGACCACAAAACATGTACAACAGGGTAGAGAGTGCGACATTACACCAGTGCATTGGAGATCAGCCAAAATCTCTAGTGCGCAAGTCACCAGCGTGTGCAGAGACTCAGGCGGCAATTGATGGCGAGGACGACCTTCTTTACCTAAGGGTTCTTTGGCATGAGATGACCGGGGGTTGCTTAGATCCGAGAGATCCCAATCAAGCAGCTTCACACGTTCCAGCAGCACTTGTGACAGACTCCAAGAACCTGTACGACAAGATCCACAGAGCGACTGTGGTGGTCAAGGGTGCAGAAAAGCGAAGTGACATTGAAGCCATTTCCTTAAGGGAAAACTTGGAGGATTGCAAAACACCTATCCTTTGGGTACATGGCGGTGCAATGCTTTCAAATTCCTTAACCAAGCCAACCGAGAAGCAGCAAATGTTAGACTACATCATGCTGAACTTTCGGTACAAGATAGTTTTCGATGAGTCTAGACGCTCGGAGAAGGTAAGGAAGAAGCAAGGCATGAACACCTTCGAGGACCATGGTTCGATACACTTCGGCGCACACAACATACAAGGGTTCGAAGGATGATTTTGAGTCCTCCAAATTCGATGGTTCCATTTTCTAGAATACTTTGAGTAGAATGGTGGCAGTGCGAATTCGGCATTCGTCGTCATTCCACCGATCGAATCTTTAGTTCAAGACCCCCCTCGGCGAGTGATCGAAACATGCGTTGATCCGCTTTTCACCATATATATATATATATTTACTTGGCTCCCTTCTGCTCAGCTTGTGCTTCCTTCCCCCCGTAAAGAAGGCTAAGAAGGCTTCAAAAAAGGGAAGGCCACAGCCTTGGGCAGCCTTGGGTAGCCTTGGTTAGCCTTGGCCTGAGATGCCCACCGTCTTCGCATTGGTTCCATGAAGGTGTCCTTTCACAGCCCACTCGTATACTCATAGACAACATCTGTGGATGACCAATCCAACCAGTATCCAATGAGTATCACCTTCTGCTGTGCTTTGACACAAGTTGCAAGGACTTCACTTGAGCAGCCTCAACTTGAGCAGCAATACCAGCTTCGACTGCAACTCGCATCTCCTCCTTAAAAGTGCTTGTGCGGATGTTCCCTCGCACGAGATCCATTTCTTTGGGCTGCACTTCAGCAGCTTGATTAATTGCATTCAAGGGTCTGCAATGCCACGTTCATCATACATTTTCATGTCCTCAAACAGCAAACGAGTATCCTTCACATGTTGGGCTACCACGTGCACAAACAAATCATGAACACGTCATGTGGGCTTGGGGGCTGCGGGGGACCGTCATGCGACGAACAAATCCGAGTCCTCACGCGCGTCATCCTGTGCCTTGACCCAATCACAGTCCTGTCAGACGTTTATACAATGCGTCAAGAATCCCCTGCATGTTGGATGTCCTCTTTCTGTTCCACAGGCATGGTCTCATAGATTGCTTTGTACCTAGGTGTGAACTGAATCAACGATGACACGCAACCTCAACTCTTGCGCTTCGCTTAGAAGCAGACGTCTGAATGGCCTGCTTTTCCAAAGGCTCCACAACATCATTCTCGAACTTCCTCAGCTGGATAGCCTATGCAAAAAGTTAACAAACTGTATACGATTCTGTAAACAGAGTATGATGCTTACATCTTCTTTTCATGACCCGCCACGCAAGTCTATGAAACATAGACATTCTACCTGATTCGCGTAAAGCGCATTGCATGGGCAGCTGAAGATTGTGAAAAGCCCTAACCCCCCCTGCCCACCATCTCTTCTAGTTTATCTGGCAAGCTTCTCCCCTGTTCCTGGCCCGCGCTGCATGAGCTCCTGAAAGGCAAAACTTGTTGATCTGTTGGCAAGGTGGAAAGGTGCACGAATCCATATCTACCCACAGGGAGGGTGCCTTCACCTGGAACCTGAGTGTCTCAAATTCAAAACATTGCTTCACAAAACCACTAGGACCTTGGTTGCCTCACTTTCAGAAAAGCTGTTGCACAAAGTGACTGAAAATCATGAGGCACGCAAGCTCCTCTCGAAGAAGGTCCATGTCAATCTCCAATGAAGCTCCAGCTTTCGCAAAAGACATGCCTAGATTGGGTAGTCAAACGGTCTTGATCAACTGAACAGTGAGATGACACATCAGCCATCATCACCCGTCGCCTGCTTGCCATCACCACTCAAACGGACCAAATGATTCATTTGGAAAAAAACAAAACTCCCCGTCATAAGCTGAGCATGAATCTAGCAGTCACCAAACCAAGTGAGGTCAAGCCCATTGATGATACTTAGACTGTGTAAGCACTCCTTCGGTATTCATCCTTTAATTGCAATCGTCACATCCCACTGTCGTCTGAGCAGAGTAGTATCTTTGGAAATCGTCGCTACTCCATCACTAACACCCCTTGGGTACAGCCCTTTGTTCTTTCATAGCGTCTTGATTGATGCCTTTTGCAAGCTGTAGAGAGTGCACTTGAGGAGACGGGGGTGGACGAAAGGTAGCATGTCTGCGGCTGCTGCTGCTGCTGGTTGCTGGTTGCTGCTGGTTGCTGCTGCTGGTTGCTGGTTGCTGCTGGTTGGTTGCTGCTGCTGCTGGTTGCTAGTTGCTGCTGCTTGCTGGTTGCTGCTGCTGCTGGTTGCTAGTTGCTGCTGCTTGCTGGTTGCTGTTGCTGTTGCTGCTGCTGGTTGCTGCTGCTGGTTGCTGCTGCTGTTGCTGCTGCTGGTTGCTGCTGCTGTTGCTACTTCTTGCTGGTTGCTGCTCCTGCTGGTTGCTGCTGCTGTTTGGCTGTTGCTGTTGCTACTTCTTGCTGGTTGCTGCTGTTGCTTGAATCCTGAAGACTGCTGCTGCTGCTTTGCTTTCCCCCCCTCTTTCAATTTCGTCTGCGCAGCCCCCCAAAAACTGAACGAAAACGAAGGGTTGTGGAGGCCAAACTTGTGTGAGCTTTGGTGTTGCTGCTGCCACTGGTGCCACTGCCGCTGCTTTCTGCTTTGCTGTGCTGCTACTGCTGCTGCTGCTGCATTGCTGGTTTGCTGCTGCTGCTGGCTGCTTGTTTCTGCTCAGATCACTACCAAATTCTCCGCGACGCAGGGCGGAGTCGAATGGGGGGGGGGCCCCCCCCCGACATTTAAAACCAACTCTTAAACGACCGAAATCATGGACAGGAGCTCGTGACCACCCCCAATACATTGCTAAAGCAAGGCAACTCAGGTAGCGTAACCGCTACCTTTCGTGAAAAGCAGGTCCAGGAGGTTTCAAGTGTAACATTGTGTCGCCTGGACCTTTGCGTATTCAAGTTTCAACTAGGCCTTTGCGTCTTCGTGGCATTGGCCTGATCGGACCAAAGCCTGGCCGGGAATGATTTCTGCTTCTGTCTGCATGAACCAAACAGGGCATTCCACTGATGAGGACAGGTACGTTGGCGAGCTTTGCAAAGCACACTTCCTGGGATGCGGAATGGTTAAAATATTATCTAAACTAGTTGCAAGATGTCGCAAGGAAGAGCGTTAAAGTATGTGGAACTCTTGCCCTGGGCGTCTAAGCATCCAAATCCAATTACAGTAAGTGAAAAATGCTGCGGTCCAGGGGCTGTCAAACACCAAGTCCTGGCCATTGGTGTGTGGTCCTGCGATCAGCGGCAGAACCCGGTGAGTCGTCACAAGCGCTGAACAGTCACAGCTGCAGTCCCGATCCATGGCGACCAGCAGCTTCGTTTTTTGGCGACTGGCGGTCACTGAGGTCTATAGCGATGCCAGGAGCCCCTAGTAGCGTCCTTGCTCCTAGTAGCGATGCCAGGAGCCCCTAATAGCTTCTTGCTCCTAGTAGTAAGGCCAGGAGCCCCTGGTGGTTTGCATTCTGGACATCATGAAGTTGAAATTGCATCAATTTGCACGCTAAGCTATGCCTGAGGGACCTCATTTGCTTGAGGACAAAGTCAAATTTGTCGGTCTCGCAGCGGGGATGCTTTTGGGGAAATGTCCGCACTTGGTCCTGAGCGGCCAACTTATGGGAGGTTGCGCCGGCACGATCACTCCACACAAAAAAACTTGGATATCCGAACAATGCAGAATGCATCCACAAAGTATCGCCTGCACAACAGACACATTCCTCCACTGCAGCAGAGAAGGTGGGAAGCCGGGGACTATATATATACATATCATTTTGTCCACCCGTGACATGTCGTGACCCCGGAGGGACCTTCGACTTGAGGAAAGAAGAGCCTGCTCGGCGCCCCGCGGTTGGGGCGGACACTCCGCAATTGGCATTCGGAGCCATGGCTTGTTGGTGATCCTGCGGTCAGGATCCACACCCGTGACATGTCTGCTGCGGCCTCGGAGGCCGCCCCTTTGCGCTTCTCTGGAGAGAATGAGGATGGAAGAGAATACAAGAGATGGAAGACTTGGGTAAAGAATAAGCTCTTGACCCTGGACAAGTTACCTGAAACTGCCTATATATACACGTTGTTGGCTGGCAAGGCCTTGGAGGCCGTTGAACACCTGGATCCGGGCGACTATCAGAAGAAAGATGGCGACCAGGTCCTGTGGTCGTTGCTGGACAAAAGGTTTCCTCAGCTGGAAGTGGTCGATGAGCTTGGTGAAATCCTGGGCGAGGTTTTCAATCTTCGCTCCCAGGAGGGGGAAACGATGAAACAATGGGCTGCCAGAGCATCGGAGTTGTTCGACCGATGCCACAGGAAAACAGGAGTTCAGTTTCCTGACGAAGCCAGAGGCTGGCTTTTGTTGCACAGGGCCAACCTCAGCGAGGAGCAGAAGGCCGTGGTCATTTCGCGTGCCCGTGGAGATCTCAAACGAGAATCCATTGCAGCAGCTCTCCGATCATGCTACCCCGACCTTGTTGTTGGAAAACGGCGAACAGCCGTTGCATTGGCGGAAGAGACCATTGACGATCCAACCGAGCCCCACGATGCCTGGGAAGAAGATTTTTCAGACGTGGAGCACCTGCTGGAAGAACATCAATCGTCCGCTGATTGGGCCGCTGACACGGAGGCCTACAATGAAGCTGAGGTAGCAGAAGTGTTGGCTGCCACATGGAAAGAGCGTCGACAAGAGCTCAACCGTCTCCAAAAGACAAGACAATTCCAGAAGTCCAAGGACGTGAAGAGAGCATTTCGTGTGGAAGTGGAAGAGATGAAGCGACACACTACCTGCAACCGCTGTGGCCGTCGAGGTCATTGGGCCCGTGAGTGTCGAGCCAAAGACACTCGCAAAGGCAGCAGCAAGGGATCCGACAAATCAGGAGCTTCTCAACCTTCAGGTGCTGCAGTTGTGGAAGAGCTGGATTTCATTGCAGCGATCATGAATCGCCCGACCTTGTTGGAGCAAGCACGTATGCGGGGCTGCTGGTGAGTGGACCCCTGACGAGGTCATGCTGGTTTCCTCACCAGGATTTGGTGTGTTGGATTCGGGCTGTGGTAGGACAGTTGTTGGGGCTTCAACTTTACAGAGCTTTGAAAAGCTGTGGTCTCAGCGTGGCTGGACAGTGCCCTCCAAGATTTCCGAGGTGCACCAGTTCAAGTTCGGAAATGGTGATGTGGAGACCTCCCACTATTCCGTCCAGATGCCCGTCATCCTGGCTAATCGCCGAGGGGTGATCAGAGCTGCAAAGGTGACGCTCCTCTTCTGGTGAGTCGCAGTGCCTTGAAGTCCCTTGGCGCCTCACTGGATTTTCAAAAGGACTGTCTCAATGTTTTTGGTCAATCTGTTCCACTCAAGACCAATGGAGCAGGACAGTATGTGGTTGATTTGCTTTCCCCCAAAGAAACTATAGCAGCTGATTTCACGGAAGTCATGATACTTGAGCCTCATCCTCATCCAGCGAACCTGTCACCGGAAGCACCCGAAGCAGACACACCTGTGACTCTCGAGCCATCTGCATCACCTGCGGCGGATGAGAAGCCGCTAGCTGTTTGGACTCAGGAGAACAGTGATGTGATGGCAACTCCGTGGTTATCTCGTTCAGGGCCTGCATGGAAACAAGTGGTTCGTAGGAAAGTGGTTGATTGTGAAACCAATCAAGTTCTTGACGACTCCCCAATCATTCCAGGGAACCCTCAACATCGCACCATCGTCCGCCTTCCTCGAAGAGTTGCTCATGTTCGGACCGAATTTTCCTTTTTGGGTGAAACCATGTCCGTGTCCAATGAGTGGCAACCGACGGAGAGAGAGAGTCGACAGTTGGAAAGTCAAATCAAAACTTGTTTGGCCGTGCAGCACCCTCAAGATCGCTGTCTTGTGATGGAAGTGTTTTCACCTCCTCGTTTTTCGATTGAAGCAGAGAAACATCACTTCCGAGCTAGGTCGTATGATCTTAAGAACGGTTGGGATTTTCGCCTGACTCAACACAGGAGAAAGGTGGAAGATGATCTCATCAACGACACGCCGTCGTTGCTCATTCTGTGCCCTCCGTGTACTCATGAAGGTGGTTGGTTCTGGTTGAATAGTCAGAAATGGGATCCTCACACAGTGCTGCGCATTAAGGCACAGAGCCGAAGCTTTATTCGATGGTGTTGCAAACTGTTCCGAATAGGTGTACAGTTGGGATGTAGGGTGGTGTTTGAGCATCCGACAGGGGCAAGAACCTGGCATTACCCTGAGGTAGAAGGACTCTGCCGACGTTTTCACACAGTGAAGCTTCACATGTGCAGGTATGGTCTTCGATTGCCTGAGAGTGATCGGTACATCCGTAAGAGCACCCGTCTGTTGGTTTCTCATGAAGACATGTCCAGCCTGGGTCTCACATGTGACCACACTGGAACGCATCAGTGTCATGATGTGATCGCCGGTAGTGCACCTGGTGTTCCTCGTATCAGTACTTTTGCTGGTGCCTACCCCGTGAAGTTTGTTCAAGCGGTGTTGAATATGATACCTCAGTTTAAGCTAGATCGATCCAAGGCCACCTCGTCATGTGAATGCATCGCTCATGTAGAAGTCATCAATGAAGTCCCCGATGCGTCATGGACAGAGATCCTAGCCGCTGGACAGGTCCGAGACCGCTCTGACAGTGATCTGATTCCGGTTTTGGATAAGCTTCATAGGAACTTAGGTCATCCACCGAATCACGATCTAGTCAGGATTCTTCGCCATGGACAGGCCAGTGAGCAAGCAATACGTTTGGCTAAGGAATTCTCGTGTGATTTGCGCCGGAGTCAGCTCAAACCAAAGGTGCCTCTGCCGGCGCAACCTCATCGGATCACAGAGTTCAATAGTCAAGTCGGTCTCGATGTGAAGCACTTAAAGGGTTGGTTACCTAACCAAAAGGTGAAGGCATTAAACATTGTCGATACTGCTAGCAGTTTTCAACGGGTGATTATCATATTCCTTTCTTTGAAACAGAAACTGCAAGTGTTTTGAGGAAGTTGTTCACAGACAGTTGGATTTCGTGGGCTGGTGTTCCCAAAGAGATCGTTTTGGACCCTGCCAGAACAAACCTGGGAGATCCGATGGTAGTGCCTGCCGAGCTGGACGGTGTCCAGATCCGTCCGATTGCTGCTGGAGCACACTGGCAATTGGGGAAGTGTGAAACTCATGGAGGCTGGTTCAACCGCGTTCTAGAAAAGTTGATTGAAGAATTTTCTCCATCATCCAAAGAGGAATGGTTAGAATGTGTAGTGCATGCACACATCAAGAACCAACAGCTGCAGGTACATGGTTTTTCACCATACCAACTCGTATTCGGTCGCAATCCACATATTCCTCAGGACTTGCTGAACGAACCTCTCCAGGTAATCTCAGCAACAGCTTCCCTGACAGAAGCATCAATTGCCAGAGCCTGCCCGTACAGCATTGGTTCAGATGCAAGACGATCGAGCCCTGCAGGTGGCTCTGTTGGCACGTCCCCGAGTGGAAATGACTTTCAATCCGGGTGATATGGTAGCCTATTGGCGAAACCAAAAGTGGGTTCAGGGTCAGCTCCAACAAGGGGGTCAGTGGTATGGAGTCGCCATCGTTCTCGGTCGAGTAGGTCGCAATGTCGTCATCATTCATCGACGACAAGTGCTGAGATGCGCTCCAGAGCAACTCCGTCTGGCTACTAATGAGGAGAAAACCCTGCTGGCATCGCCTCAAGCTGAATTGTTAGGTATCAAGGATCTGATTGATAGTGGTAACCTCCGAAGTAAACAGTACATAGACCTGTTGCCCCAATCTTATCCCCCACAAGAAGGACCAGTCGAGCCAGCTGTCGATAGTCATACCGAGCCGGAGTCAAGCACTGTGGTAGCGCCGCCTCAAGTGAATGCACCACTCGTGCCTGAGCCAAAGTCCACTTCAGCTGTGCCAGAAGACTCTCAAGAAGAGCAAGTGCAGGGTGATCAAGAAATGACAGAGATAAAATCTCCGACACCAGCAGAGGAGACTTCTGACACTCCAAGTTCCGCCGAAACTTCGGCGCCGTCGTCCTACGGTCCCATTCGCCGCCGAATCGAAGGGAAGGATGGACCAATGGCACTGTGGCGGCCTCCTGCCTTGAAGCAAACAGATTTTGTTGACATCATGAAAGAGATAGTACCCCAACTTGTTGAAGATGCATGTATGTCACAAAACAAAAGACCGGCATCTCCGTCCGCCGATGAACCAGTGTCGTCGAGGCCTCGTATGGCAGAAGTGTTGAGTGTTGAAGATGTTGATTTCCTCCTCCAAGCACAAAGTGTGTCGTGGGATTGCCGGATGGCAGAATATCTCAAAAAGAAAATGAGCAAGGAACTGCACCACAGCAACAATCCTCCCGACATTCAGGAAAAGGTCCAACTAGGCAAACGTGTGGAATGGGAAACGATTCTGTCCAAGCCCAACTCGGTCAAGATCCACTATGGAGCAAAAGCCGATCGCATTCGAAAAGAGGAAGACCATCGTTTCATAGGGAGTAGGTTCGTGTTGACTCGAAAGCCGCTCGAAGAAGGTATGGATTTGGACCCAAATGACAGCACCACATTCACGGTAAAGGGCAGGTGGCGTCTACAGGGGCACTTGGACCCAGATTTGTCTCAGAAGGCCGAACAGGGCCTGTTGAAGTCCCCTACCCTAAGTCAACTAGGCCGGATGTGTTTGTTTCAGACGATTGCATCAAAGGG